ACTATAACACAAAGAGAAACGGAGAAAAAGGAAGTATGGGGATCGCTATCAATCATTAACGGAAGCAGGAGGGAGACAGAATGCTTTGCCATGATTTGTTGAAAATTTTATTACTTCTAAAACGATAATACTTTATTTACCTGTTAACAATTTTGTTGAGATGATGAATGGATCTGAAGCTTTTTTCAATAATGCACAATGAATGGAGCATAAAATCACAAAAGACTGGAAATCAGAAATCGATAAATTGTGATGTCAACGAAGTTCTACTCACTTTCATTCACGCATTAACAAAATGAACACGATATCATCAGTAACCTACATTCTCTTATATGCAAAGGCTAATCATACGAGCCTTTTCAACATATATCCAGATCGTTGGCCTCACCGGGTGCAACTTTACAGTTGTCAGACAAAAATATGAGCACGATCAAATGTAGATCAGTAGTAATCATCATCCTACCGTTAAAACGCCAAATAAACTTGGTTTACCCAAAAAAGACAGTTACTCCAACTATCAAAAGCTCCTCTAGAATGCGATGCATCACATTGTTCACTTGATTTTTTCAACTATATCGTTAATGACTTCCTCCATGTTCAGCGCCTTCATTTTTGAAAATGGTCGTTTCATGTCCTGCAAAATAAAACACATAAATGACAACTCGGAAAAATTGATTACTTTTCAACAAGCCCATAACATTATCAAGAAGATCACCCTCTCTTCACCAAAATAAATTACTTAGAACATCATCGAAGTTCATACAGAATATTGATATTTCCTTTTGTGAAAAAATAAGCATCCTGTTAAGATTCATCATGAATATGGATTTAAACTATCTCCTAGCAATTATCATCAATCACTTTTAGCCTTTTCAAACTGAAACTTACCTTTCTGGAAAAACAGTGAGCTATTTCGTTCTCCTATCCAATGACTTTCAGAATGGAAAAGGCTTATTGACTAAAAACATGCAAATTAAATCTTGCAAGAATAGAAGAATTTTGGTGTATGAATTACCAGAAGACTGAGGAATGTCTCGCCGCCTTCCTCCCGTATCTCTAAGCATCCTTTTCTTGGCTATTCACAAAAAAGAAGGAAATAGTTAGATCATTACTTATACCCATAATGCCTAAATCTGTAATCATTTGAAAAACGGCTTGGATAAGAAACAGATTAGTCTTAAACAGGTGCTTACTATTTTCCTAACAGTAAAGGTTTTGCACGATTCTAATCTCACATTGTGAAGATTGGATAATAGCGTGAGTTATAGGATACAATGGTCGACAGACAGCTTAAGACCTAATACTTACTTTCAATATCCTGTAGGAGGACATCAAGTCTACAAAAAGTCAAAAATAAATAAGCATCAAACAATGTTTATCCCCTGATTCTTTATGGTTCAATTGATTCCTTGCATCCACTCAATTTGAATTCATAAAACTAATGTTTATGGTCTTTCTACTAATTCAGCGTTATTGTAATATATCCAAATCCTTTCTTTTAAATCATTCCATCCACATAAGCTCGAATCCATGGAAAACATTAATATCCTTCATTAAGTATACCTTATCAGGGTTTAGTAGAACTTTGATGCCAGGAACACCTTTCTCCAAACCATTTTTGACCTGATCAGCTCTTACCTTGAATGACTTGCATTGCTTGCTAGAGAAAAGAACCAAATCAGTCAATAAGGATAATAAAAGAACTGCAAGTACACAAAGATCTTGCTATTGCAGGGGGAATGGGGAAGGAAAACGTACACAATAAAAACCAAGGACTAAACGCTTAAGAAACAATCATCATAATCTTACAAAAAAAAGAAGAAAAGTTGGCGGACTGCACAAGACTTTAACTAATGTGGGATTTGGGGAGAGCAAGACATACACAATAATAACACTGTTTCTAAACGAGGCTGTTTTTGCAATCAAAACCCACAACTACCAAGTCGCTTGGGCCACTCCATAACCATCAACACAGATTATCCTATTGCATAAATGATAAATCCAACAAATAGTTTTCATTTTCCAAATGGGAGCAAAGGTTCCGTAAACTTTTATCCAGCAACGAAACTACTCTAACAATATAAAATGAAACAGCTGGATTGTGATACCACGACAATCCAACTCATAACTACTTTCGCTTATTTCAGAATTGACAGAATCAAAAGCTCTCCCAAAGAATCTACAGACTCCTGCAACGATCGTACTGCTAACTGTGCGCAGTTTAATGACCAGGAGACCTTAATTTCATCCCCAGTTCATGCATCCTAGATACTAAGTTAAATAACATGTCCCTCGAATAGCTATTAAAACAGACAGTCAAAAGGCTTGCACACAGAGTAAATTAACAATTTTTCCACTAGACCCACCACCCCATCTACAAATCCTCCTTAGCTTTTAGCTAAATTAATCCAATCCTTGTTCCTTTATGAAAATTAGAAGTCTGTAGTACTCCCAACAAATTTCCTAGAGATTCCAAACCCTAGAACGAAGGAGAGGGGGGGGGGGGTTGGGAAATCCAATCGAGGTTACCCTAGTATGAATGCGTCAAAATTCTCAAAGCCAAAATCATAATCTGAAGAAAGTAAATAATAAATAGTAGAAAAAGAAGCACAATATACGAAATAACATTTTCGTGCGTATCCTAAAATTTTCTCGGCAACCAAACAGGACCAAAAAAAGATTGAGGGATAAAATTGCCTAACCAATGCTCAATCACAATGGTCCTCTTGTCCGACTCGTCGTCGTCAGCCTCCGTACCTTCTCCGTCGTCCTCCACTTTCGCTTTCCCTTTCTCCTCCTTGTTCTCCACCTCGGCCTCCACTTTCTCCTTCCCTTTCTTCTTCTTGTTCTCGTTCTCCGCGTCGGCCTCCGCCTTGCTCTCGCCGGAGTTGTCCTCCTCTTCCTTCACAGCTTCCGCTTCCGCTTCTTCCACCTCCACCTCTTCCTTCTTCGCCGGCTCTTTCTTCTTCTGAGCTCCCTTGGCCTTCTTCCTCGCCGGCGGCGCCACGGCTCGTGGCTCAGCCGAGCTCCCACTCGGAGCCGGCCGAGCCATACTCCGAGTCACTCGCTGACCCGAGTCCTGAGCCACCAGCTGCTTTTCTTCTTGCTCAGTAGTCTTGCGTTTCCTCGGCGCCATTCCCACAAAACCCAGAAACCCTAGCACGCTAACGGAGCTCCGAGAGAGAGAGAGAGATGAGAGTTTTAGGCTCTCTCACTAGCAACGAAGTGAGAAAACTGACTGAGTGACTCCCTCTGGCTCCGGGTGGTGCCGTTTTGTACTTCCTGGCTCGCAGATATTTTTCCATTTTCCCGCGCTTTTACTGTTAGTGGATTTGAATAGACGGTGGGGATTGGTTTAGGGGTGCTGGATGAGTGTGGGCCGTCGATTGAAGAGCGAGTACGGAGTCGCAATGGGTGACTTCGAGATGGGAAATGACAAGGCCTTCGGCGGTCCAACCAAGTCCACACAATTTCTCCCCCTTTACGGACACGCTCATCAAGAAATTACTGTTTTATCTTATAATTTAAAGAATTATTATTAGCATTTTAAAAATCTTATTTAGCACTCCAAATTTTCCACAATTAAAAAGAAAAATGTATTTGTGAGAAGTGTAGGGTAAGATTTTTAGAATACTATTAACAATTCTCAAAAATTTATTGCATTTTAATCATTTTATCCAAACACGTCATTTATAAGACATCTTTCAAAAAGTTATTATGATCCTTTGACATTTGGTCCTTGGCAGTGGTTTGAAGTTTGTCTTTTTTCAATAAGTAGGTGATCATCGATCATTAATGTAAACTGAACCAACAATGCATATAACGATCGATTGAAGGACTACTACATTTAAAAGTGATAGAATTCTATTATGATTCGTTTATTAATTTGTAATTTTTTTTAACAAGAAATAATAGCAATTTTCTATTAATAATGATAACAATAACAATTACAAAGATTGTCAGATGGGTACAATCTCCAATGACCAAATATTTGATTTGGAGGTAATTCGCACAAAACAAATAGTGATGATAATCCTTTAATTGGCTATCACAAAAGCACACACACTAGCATAAACAACCTAGTACAAATTTGCCACAAAGAAGGCAGAAGCAACAAACTTATCCCAGAGCACACGTAATGTCACCACCACCACACAAGCGGGGCCACATTAAACGATAGCTAAGAAACGATGTCACATTAAAAACCACCGCACACACACAGTGACATGCCCCGGCCCTGATATTCCTCGAATACCAGGATAGACACGTGCTGGCCGACACACCCGAGGGTGACGAAAGCCATTAATTGATACAAAATCTAAGAATAAGAAGTAAATAAGGGTTATGAATTTAAATACAATGAGTTAATAATTTGGGAACGTGTTCAGAACAAACAACTAACTAGAGCTCTAAAAGAATTAATATGAAATTGAATAAATAAGAGGATGTAGGTCCTACACCGAGAGGACTCGAATATGCCAATGCGAAAGCGTTGACGTCGGGATCGTATGCCTCGATTCTAAATCCTGAAAGGGGGCGCAAAATAAGGGTGAGTGGATCAAGTTTATATACATACATAATAATAAAATAGTTATCAAGATACTAACTCCCACAGTTTAAATACAGAAAACTACTAACATAATAAGTTATAGTTTTACTGAAAACCCTAGCATGCCAAAAACATCTTAAAAGACATATCGTAGAAAAACATCGTGGAAATCAAAACATCAATCGTCTCACAGATCGTCTCGTAAGCGCGGTGTGCTACCAGTAAGATCACTGAATAAATATAACTCCTGGCCCTATGTCAGCACCGTGGTCTCTGCGCCCGTAGCCAGAGATTACCAACTCCCGGCTCATGCCTGCTCCATGTCCCTCAGCCCGTAGCTAGGGATTATTTCTCCCGGCATATCTGCTAACACCAGATCATCACCCCAGACGGCATATTATCCACTAGGTACGCATAAATAGTTAGGCTTCTCATAAATAATCACTTCATAGTATAAAGTCATCCATCATCTATACTATAAAGAGGGGTTATAAAACATGTTCTAGCATCCTATCGTCATCCATCAAATAGTCTACCAGTTCATGGTTTTTATAGAAAATACGATATATTAAAAATATAGCTCTATAGGCTAATAATTAATTCCTCACAAAAAATGAGACTATAAACAACATATTCCATAAACATGCTTAACATAAAATCAGTTTATAAACTCGTAAGGCATGCTGCTATTCATTTATGCAAATAAACTATAAAATTAAGCAAATTTTTAGAAGGGGTCCACTCACAATACTTTTGCCGTCGAATACTTTGCCGTGCTGCTAGTAGTAAGACAGAAACACCACTATAATTGCCCCTAATCACATAAAGGTTACATTTAGTCAAACTCTACTCAAACGATTGAATTTGGGAAAACAAACTTCAAAAACGGGTCCAGGACGTCGAAATTAGCCTAGAAAAGGTCCCTAACGAAATCCCAAAAAGTCAACCCTAAAAATCAACGTTGACCGTTGACCGATCAAAGTCAAAGCTGACCGTTGACCGAGTCAACAGTCAGAGTCAACTGGGTTTGGGCTTAGGGTTGGACCAGGTTTAGGGCTTAGGTCTTTAGGTTTGGTCTTAAGGCCCAAAGGTTTAGGATTTTTAGGTAAACAGGCCAAAGGCCCTGATCTCACATGGCCTAAAGGCCTGTCTTTTTTTCCTGGGTTGGATTCAAATTACACGGGCTCAAAGGCCCAACTTCCTTACAGCCCGAAGACCTGCTTCAAAAGGTTTCACAATTAGGCTGGGCTTTTAAGCCTGGCCCAATTGTATTTGGGTTTTAAGGAAATAAAACAATAAATTTTAAAAAGGGTTTTGGGTTGGGTTTTCAAACGGTTTGGGCTTGGGTGAAGGCCCAAGGCCCTAGGTTCTTCTACACGGCCTAAAAAGTTTGATCTCGCCGGGAATGAAACACCGGAGCTTCTAGCTTCTACACCTCCGACCGACTAAAAACGAAGGTCCTAGACTCCGATCTAGGTACTAAAGGAAAACACAAGGTGAAATGAGAAGTTTACTACCTTTGGTTCGCCGTAGAACGGTTGAAGGTGACTGGAAAATCCCCTCGACAGCCACGGGCTCGCCTGAGATGGGTTTGGCATACCCGCGCCGATTTCCTTTAAAAACCTTGTAAAAACGACGATTTAAAGCTTAATATATCTCAACCACGCAACAACCAAGACGAATTTGAGGTAATCCGAAGCTTACCTAACCAGAAAATCAAGGGAACTCGCCGGAAAGTTCTTGGGTTCCACAGTCCCAGTTGCGCCGAGAGAGAAAGGGAGAGGAAGAAGAGGTTGATGGTGATGATGCCTTCCTCGCAGGTGATGCAGCTGTGAATGTGTGTGTTCATGGGAAAGAGAAGGAGAGAGATGAGAGGGGTTTCGAGAGAGAGAGAGAGAGAGATAGAAGTGCAGAGAAACAAAGAGAGAAGGAAAGAGGGGTCATAGGGTGAGGGACCGAAAGAGAGAAAAATGAGGTTAGTTAGGGTGCTGCCACGTGGCAGTTTGGGGTAAAACAACATGTAATACGAATAATTAGGGGATGGTTGTAACACGCAGGGCTACATCACTCATAAGCCGAGACATTACCCACTAAATGCGGTTCAAACAAGCTACACTGATTTACACTAATTCGAGAAGCGAAATCCTCCAATTGGCTTGTCTCTAATGATTAGCCCATCTAAACTTTCAACATTACCACTTCGCAAGTGAGATCCACCACAACCATGAGCCTAGCAAGGCAAGGCACCACATATCTAGTCAGGGAAGGTGGTGCCACCAGGGATCAGTCAGAGGAGCCACAAAACCCTGAAGAAAAATAAAAGCCAAAAAGGAGGATCTGACCCACAAACAACCAATAACCCAACCAAATAGATGAAATTGAATTGAGGAGAATTGAATTCCATAATGGTACTAATTGAATATAAGTTGTTTACTAATTCACTTGAATTAGACTATGAAAGTTTGTACAATTACCAATGGGCATTGGTGAGGGAAGGAGACATATCAATGCTGGGGGCGGGTAACTGGCCCTTAACGAAAACAAACAAGGTACAACAATAGAAGCTAGGAAAGAACACTAGCCAAACCTCCAAAACAGAGAGGACCTAACTATTACAAACAAACAAAAACTGGGGCAATCTCAAGCCAATAAGGCTCCTCGTTTTGCAAGGATCGGGAGATGAATGTCTATTTTACGTTACATTACTTTTATTTTGCAAAAAGGTTGTTTCTACGACTCGAATTCATGACCTAACTTCAAATAATAAGTAGGTGATTATCCATCATTAATGTAAACTAATCCAACAACGCATATGACGATTGATTGAACAACACAACATAAAAGCGATGGAATTCCATTTATGGTTCGTTTTTTAATTTGTAATTAAAATAGGTGGCATTGGATTGAGGAGACGTTGAATTGAGGAGAACTAAATTTTAGAATGGTATGGTACTGATTGAATGTAAGCTGTTTACTAAATTACTTGAATCAAAATAAAAGTCAGTACAATTACTAGAATGTCTAAAACAAAGAGGACCTAACTGTTACAACAACCAAAAAAGGGGGTTGAACCTAATTCAATAAGGCTCCTTGCTTTGTGAGGGTTGGCGAAGGAACATTTATTGTACGTAGCCTTCCTTTTGCTTTGTAAATAGGTTGTTTCCACGACTCGAATCTGTGAACTAAAATAATTAATCTTAACTGGACATGTCACCATCTATTCAAAACTAAATCCAAAATTTCATTAATTTCTTTACAGAAAGTAAAAAAAAAAACCTGAAATTGAATGCAGTCTCATTCAAATTTCAGTAATTTAAAATACACAAATAACAAAAAAAAAAAACAGGCAAAACAATATACAGGAACAGCCAGCAGCCTCTCAACCCACCAATCAAACCCATATAAGACATATATATACCAGGACCTGGAGCTGATGAGGAAGCAATTGGATGGCCAAAAAACCAAAAAAGGATTTAGACTTTTGTGTAATTGGAGAAAAGCTGAACCAGTTTCCCCAGTGTTTCTGGATAGAACTTTCGGGCAAATAGATAACACGGTCGCTTCATCCCGTTCCACAAGCACGGAGT